AAGCCCTAAACCCTAAGGCCTAAACCCCGAAAGCCCCAAACCCTCAGCCTTAAAGCCCTAAACCCCCAAGCCCTAAGGCCCTACCTATAGTCTCCATTGTAGTTCCTTTGTTTGGTTAACCAAAATCTCTCTTATAGGGTCCTAACCATAAAATTGGATAACCAAAAAAAGGAACTACAATGGAGACTATAGGTAAGGCCCCAATCCCAAAAGCCCAAAAAGCCCTACAAAGACCCTAAACCCCGAGCCGAAGCTCTGGGTTCTCGCTTCAGGCGAGTTGCTTTCATGATGCAGACCGCGTTCGGCAGACCCCTAAACCTTCTCTTACAGAGGCTTGAGTTGAAATTCATAGTATGCATGTAGTTGCTTGCCATGATAATCGGTTGTTCTATAAGTCTATAGTCTACCTGCAAAGCCTACTCGAACGATTGAGGCCCCTAAGCCCTCAGCTCGCAAATCCTCGCCAGGGTTTGGAGCTAGCGAAGACCATTGCGTCCAAAAGCCCTGTGGCAACTTTGGGTGTGAAGCAGCTGCTTGGAACTGGACAGCCCGCTGTCCCTTGAGTTCAGGGTTTAGAAACACTCCGCAAGACAGAATTCGACAAGCTAAAGAGTTGAAGGCAGACTCGCCTTAACTAGGGGGCAGTGGCCGTTGGCTTCATTGAAATGTAGGTTCTTGCTCCGGGAGGTCAACTTACCGTATTAGGGGCAGCAGGATATTCTGCATCCGCATACCTCGACTCGAACCTCCATCCACCGTTTATTTTATTATAAACCCCACATACCCATTGTTTGTTGACCTTGTCCCCTAATTTGAGGGTCCTGATATATGGCGTAACGCGGCATAAGTTCCGCAAGGAAGGACCCAGGCTCCGTGGAACACTGTGATCCGAGCCTTGATCCGAAAACTTCAAGATGAGGTTTAGGGTTCAGGGCTTGAGGGGAGTAGGTTTCATGTTCTTAGATAGTGAACGGGGGAACTTTAAACTTGTTGGCCTTATATATTGGCTCTATCTTAGAAAGTTTGAACTTTTTGGGGCCCGGTTGTTGAAGAAGAGAGTGTTAGGATTCTGCAAGACGGGTTTGAGGCCGAGGGTGGAGTGTAAGGTGTATGGGGCTCCCTAGGCTCTATAAACGCCTTAGACTCCAAACCCTCAAGTATTTCCCAACCCCCAAACCTCGAAAACCACAAGTTCTCAAACACAAAATGCAATACATGGACCTTTATCGATTTTTGCTATAGAAATGTTGCAGAGCTCATAAAACTTTTGCTGAAGGTGGATTGGTGGATGCCTCTACCTACACAGGCGAAGCCTTAAGATCTCCTAAAGGATACATGGGACCTGTGGGAATAAGGTATATAAAACTTAGTTAGATCATGCAGGTTTAGAGGCCCTCTATAGTTTGAGGTATCTGAGATACCTCTTACTATGAGTTTTCTCAGCTAAACTCTAAAGCCTAGGCTAGACCTCGAACCTTATTGAGCTCTCTGGTTTGTTCCTGCCCCATCAGGTTCCTAAACTACGCGCGAGATCACTCCGTGGAGGTTGGAGCCTTCAGTGAGGTTCGGGCTTTATAGGACTTTGAGGGAGTTTAGGCTTAGGGCTTGGGGGCCGGGGGGCTGGCGGGTTGGGCCTTGAGTTCCAGAGGGGGTGGACTTCAGGGTTTTATTTGGTTTAGTGCAGTGTAATCTGACTATGTGAAACGTCCAGAGATTGTTCATGCCCACCATGGCAAGCCTACTCGCGAACACCGCAGCTGGAAAAGGCGGGAATAAAGATCATGTGCCCCAAAGGGGGCACCAGTGCTTCGCAAGCGGTACACATGACCAGGGCGCTAGGCTGCGTTGGAGAGACTTCAACACCAATCACCAGGCGAAATACTCAAGCCCGATAACATCTGAACTCTAAACTCTAAACCCCCTCAACACTGTCAACCTTAACCTAAGCTCCGAACCCGACATGAAGAGCAACCACGATTGTCGGTCCCTTCCGCAGGAGAGTTTGGACTACGCGATCACCTGGAACATGTCCATGCTGCAAGGCACGTGCCACCCCGGGAATTTGACTGAGGGGGGGATTCTTCTTTTGATAGGATTTGCGAAAGATTTGTAGAAGCTGGTCTGTTCGGGATTCAATGAGCTGCTTGCTATCAGTTATTCGTCTGAAATCAGATCAATTCTACAATGGACGCGCGTCCGGTAGATTATGAGCTTTGTGCTCGTGGGCTTGAGTCGCCAACATCCTTGGAGTAGTTAGCCCAAAGGTGTGCAACGTGTATATAGGTGTTTGCTTGATTAGTCAGCAGTAGCCCGATAATGGCCGTGAAACTCCTGTTGAGCATATACTATATAGGTTGTTCATGGACGCTTGGGGGTCTTTTAGGTCCTAGATTGTGGTTCGGGTGTGCAAAATGAGCCACTTCCAGCAAATGCACCATGCCCAAGACGCGCAAGACAACACTATGTCGTTTTTCATAGTTTACGAAGAGGGAGACACTCCTGAATGGCAAGGGCATGCACATCCGCATTCAACGGACACAGCCGTATCACTTGTTCTTGTTCCACTATTCTGGGTTTTCGGTTCGGTGGATAGTCGTTTGCCAACCCGGAAGACCGCTTACTCTGCTGGGCGCGGTCCTAGCCTACGGTCTCGAACCTAAGACCTCTCGACCCTAAACACAAACACCGGAAAGTCTTGCTTGTGGTCGATGTCTTCAGGTTCCGACATGGCACTCGCTGCGGCGTCCATGCTCCAGACACTTGCCTTTGATTCGGGCAAGTGGAGGATGGTTTTTACAGGCAGGTTTACAATTTGGAGCGGCAAGGGGATGTTTCAGTTGTTTCTCAGGCTGCATACAGCCAGTCAATCCCTGAATTGAGAGTCGTATAAACTTGGGTCCGTCCAGCGTGTTTCAAGGTTGTGTAGATCTGGTAGCATAGCGGTTTCCAAATTCCAAAGTCCCTCTTGTTGGTTCGTTTCTGGGCCTGCAGGGAACGCATCTTCAACGAGAAAAGGGGCTGGTTGAACCCCAATGCGGCAGACGTTTGTAGAATCCTTATAGTAACGCCTATGGTATAA